AACTAACTTGGGTTTTACTACAATCCAGGGTTGACTTGTAGTTTGCTGGCGTCTTAAGTACTGCATGCAGGTCTGAGAGTGAATGGCAAGCCACGCCTCGCCACAGCTGGAGCAATCAGCTGATTGTGATACACAACACCTGGTCCCTCGTCCCTCTGGCTTGTTGCACAGAAAAAGGTGAAGCCAAAGAAAAATTGCTCCACTTGGTGGAGCCAAAGGCGGAGGGCGTGTCATGCAGGGGAAAAGTTGGCTCGCAATTTAGTTCCACGTATTACTGTTGACTCGCTTAGCTTTGCTTATCAGCCTAAGCCACTAATGCTCGCTCACAAATTCCACTCGAGTTTATTGTTTCGCTCACTCTTTGTTCAATTTCGTGTGCAGGTTGTAGTGTACTTCTCTCCCCTGTTTCTTGTTTCACAGTTATCTAACTGTTTACATCGTTTAAACGGGGTTAAATCACTAATTGCTCAGGTCCTTTCAGGAGCCCTCTCACAGCACAGCCATTCACGGTGATGGGGTGACCGGAAGTCCTGCAGGGGAAAGTTTCATGAAGTGAAAAAGTAGTGAGTTGAAATATGTCATTAATGAGGTGAACTGCATAGGGCAACAAAATAGATCCACTCCACATTGAGAGTATGTTGCCATGAGGGGGTGTGCTTGGTCTGGAGCAGCATTAAGGATGAAGCTACTTGCAAAGTAAAATCCATATAAATGCCAGGACCCAATGTTTCCCAGCAGAACACTGCATTGTAACAAGATACACTGTATGTAACTATGATTTTCACTTCACCTGTCAGTGGTTTTCATGGCAGGTGGCAATTTCACGGCAGATTGGGGTATGGGGATGAATAATTTCTGCTTGACCACCACCTACTTCCAATATAATGAGCATTTCTACAAAGAGATGTGCCATGGGCTTACTGGTGTCTCTAATAGTGACCAGTTTTGAACTGAAAGATGTATGTAACAGAGCATAGATCGCTCACCAGAAGCTGCTCTCACCCGCTGATCTTGTACATGGATAACTACAGGGTCCAAATCAAAATACAGGAAATGGAGGCCTTCACAGTAAACATCACTGAAGTGGACCACAACATCAAGTTTGTTCAGGAAGATGTCAGAGAAAATAGTCTGGCCTATTTACACTGCGCAGGTTACACTGGAGATGTGAGGAGCCTCAACAACAATACACAAAATCCAAAACACACAGGTGAACATTCACTTTTTAATCATCACTAACCACAAAAGCACAATCAGAATGTGCCCACGAGGACAGAGAGGAGGCAGAAGGAGCACAAACAGCACTTAAAACACGTGGTTACCCAAACTGGACTTCTGTCAGTACCACAAAAAAGACACAAAACAGACAGAAAGGAAAAGAACTATCAGCGGAATAAGAGTGTTATTACTTATGCTGCAGACCCTGCATTACTGTCTGCTTAAAGCCAAGCAACATGCTGAGGCAGAAGCTTAACCACCCTCAGGACTAAACACTTAGGCATAAGTAGAGCAGTGTAGTGTAGTTTGATTCAGTGGGGAAGGCACAGATTGGAGAGAGAAAACAGCCGCTTCACAAGCACACAGCACGGCACAGCACAACACAGCACAGCACAGCACAGCACAGAGGAGTCAACTCCACCTACATTTGAAGGACAAGTGAGCCTCTTCTGAGGACAACAATGTCCACATTTTGGCTTAAGAAGACTCTTCAAAAGAGTAGTATGAGAAGCCACTTGTATTGCACTCCTCACAGCCCTTCACAAACAGCTTAAAACTGATTCATACTTTGGCTCAAGAGTCAGTGCACCCATGTGGAAGCATCTGCATTTGTTCTGTTGTTACTCATATTTGTTCCAATTTTTCCTTAAAATTTCCATCCGTCTGTATTTCAGTTTGAAAGCCTTCAAATTGAATGCTGCTACACTTTTAACATGTCCTTTTATTGCCACTATACACACCCTTTCCAAAAAAAAATAGAATATCATGACAAAGTTGTTTAATTTCCATAATTCCATTCAAAAATTAAAACTTTCATAGATTATAGATTCAGGGCTGTTTATTTTTACCTAATTTGGGCTGCCAGCTCATAAAATCCACGAAAACAGGAATTTTAAAGTTTAACTTTTTGAATGGAATTATGGAAATGAAACAACTTTTCCATGATATTCTAATTTTTTGGAAAGGGTCTGTATACTGTGGGATAGAACCATTGAGGTGTGCATCAAAAATCTGTACAATTTTAAACCAAAGAGTATTCAGAATGCTTATGGGTTTAGAAACACAAACACAAGAGATTCTGACAAGTAAACTAAAGAGGACATATTCCAGATTCTGCGCTATTAATTGGACAGTGATCATGTTAATTCTGTTGGACAAAGGTCGGAGTTTTTTGAGTTGTACCTGTTCATTAGTTCGTTCAGTGTTCAGCTGGTACTCAGGTGAATTTGATCGACTCATCAGAGGCTTGTTCAACTAACTAAGGCTCCAGCCATCGTTACCTGTTGTAAATATGACTTTTGCATCAACTTTCTAGCAGAGCATTGCCCTCTAATAGCATTGTGATAGTGGTGAAACATGATATCAAAACTAAGTGAGAGTGTCAGATGGTTATTTTGAATAAAGAGGGACTTTCTCAGCAGTAAATCCTAAAAAAAAAAAAAAAAGAAATAAAAGGGCTGGACTTAAATTTTCTAAGGGAACCCTGCATGGAGCTCCAAAACACTGTGTGTCTTAATCAGTTGTGTCTAAAACAGGACAACAGAGCTGTTTTTATCACCTGATTACCACAAATCAGCAGATGTCCTGTCAAAAAAAACGCTGTCTGGTCATGTGTCAGAGGACAAGAGGGAGTCGCTCAACCACTTTTCACAAGAGGAAACAAGGCCAAACACTTGGAGATATTTACAGATGAATTCCAGTTAGAGATAATTGTTAGTAACAGAAGTGTGTATGTAAGGAGACCAACAGGAGAGAGAATGATACTCCAGTGTCTCAAACCCGCGATGAAACAAACACAAGTCCAGTGTGAGACACCTGTACTGAATCAGCTCCACCCTGACCAAGGACAAGCAGCACTCCATTCAAGACATACTCCACCCTCTGTCATGGACTGACCTGACTTCATCCCCACTGAACAGTCAAAAGCTACTAAAATCTAAAAGGAAAAAAAAAAAAAAAAAAACACCAAATTTTCCTGAAACATTTCTTTGAAACATTGCAACATGAGGTTGGGATAACATGGGTTTAGCAAACTTATGGTGTCACTGCAGCTTCGTTTTCTGAGATCCAGCTTTTCACTTCAAAATTCACAATTACTAAGCTGATGATATTATTTGACCTGGGCAGCTGTGGCTCAGGTGGTAAAGCAGTTGTCCACTACTCGTAAGGTTGGTGCTTCAATCTTCAGCCCCTCCTCATGTCCAAATGTCGATATCCTTGGGCAAGACACTGAACCCAAAGTTGCTCCTGATAGCAGGCGACACATCTTGCATGGCAGCTCTGTCACCATTGGTGTGTGAATGGGAAATACATTGTAAAGCGCTTTGAGCACCACTAAGGTCGGCATTCTGTAAATGCAGACGATTTACAATGTACCTCATTGTATGTCTGAAAGTGTGTGTTTTCTGAAGGGACATTTTCTGGTAATGGTTGACACTGTCTATCATTCTGATAATTTATGTAATTTGTGTATTAAGTATTGCTGATATATAAGAATGTGGAGACAAAAAAAAACTACCTGATCAAGAAATACAAGCATACATACAACTGAGCACATGTTTTTGAAACAAACAGTTTATCCAGTGTTTTGAAGGCACTTTATTTAGAGAGAAAACGTGCAGCAGTTCTGAATTAAAAAGGCACTCCGTGTGTTCTAAATAAAGCTGAGACTTGCTTAACAGTTGTTTGTTTCCCTTGCCTCTAAATCAAGTCAAGGTGAACTTGAATTATTTTATATGTACTGTACTAGTAAATTATCCTTAAATGTCCAAGGAGTTCAAACAATTGCTTGCAAATACTGTAATGTAAAATACAATAATGTTTTCACTTATAGACAATGAACTAGGACAGACCATTATCTATCCACACACTGCTCATCCTCCTAAGTGTCTGTTTAGCTACCACCTGTAAATGAGCTTTACTCTTTATGGGGAAAGTAACCATATTTGGTAACTTCTCTGGATGTTCAGTATGTCCACCTTGTGCCTCTCCTTGAGGCTGAAGAACCATGTGCACTTTGATTAGTATTTTATATTAGTGCCCATATCACTACATTTTGAAACATGTCACTAAACAAATGTTCCAGGCGCTTTATAAACACTTTGTTACTGCTTTGTATTGAACTCCACTTTGATTTAGTTTTTGAAATTAGTGCCAAAACCACTACCCCAAGATAAATGTTGCTAAATGAACTTGCCAAACACTTTATAAATACTTTGTTACTGGTTGTGTAAGTACCATTACCTCAAACTAAAATGTTTGTAATTTAATGTTTTTTGCAGTTTGTTACTTTTTCTTTTAACCGTAGACGGGCAAGTTACCGTCTATAGTAGCTTTATTAATCTTGATTTGCAACATTTTTTTTTAAGTCATAAAAGTAAAACTATCTTGAAATATCCTTCAATAACACTCTCGGGTTGAAATTTTCATTTTCCAAGTATTTCAAAGAGTGCCCTATAAAGGGTTAAACAGCCCTGACACTCTACCATCTGCTGGCTTGCTCTCTGAATACCACGTATAATAAAATCACTGACACTCAGAAACTCGTTAATTATGGCCCTTCACAACATTACGATTTTCACTAATAACCTCTTAAGATGACATGATTGCCCGGCTGTCACCGTCACTGACAAAGCTAAACAGATTGTAATGGTGGGTGAAGAGGACACACCATTAGCACAGCTTTACTTAAAGACATGGTCAGGATAACTGAATGATACCAGAGAGCACAGGAAATGCACTAACAATGTGGAATGTCTCTCTCTCGCTCTCTCTCTCTGCAGGTAATCGCCCCTGTATTGTGCTGACAGGTCGTGTGCATCCCGGTGAGTCTAATGCCAGCTGGGTGATGAAGGGCACCCTGGAGTTTCTGTGCAGCAGTGACCTGGTGGCCCAGAGTCTGAGGGAGGCATTTGTCTTCAAGATCATCCCCATGCTCAACCCAGATGGAGTCATCAATGGAATGTAAGTAGGGGGCATGAATGTCAGATGCTTAACTTAGATGAGATGCAATTAACATGTAAGTCCAGCAAAGATAGATTAAGTAATATTAGAAACTTGGGAGATTAGATAATTACACACAGACTGACTAAACCGACTGTGAGCAGTCTGAAGTTAACTGTTTGTTAACTGGCAAACTGTAAGTGGAACAAAGATTTTTATTTATTTTTTTATCTGGTGTACTCAAGGATATTTTTAGAGTAATTAGTTTTTTTTGCTTCTATCATCATAATTATAAAGACTAGCCATATATTCCATATCTTGTTTTTCCCCCAGAACAGGCTACGCTTTTTTTCAGATTTTCCATCATTTCATATAATACTTACAGATTTTTACTTTTGGCCTATATATCAAGGGAAATTTTCTCTTATAAAATTATATTTTTACATGAATCTCACCGTAGAATACAGGCAGTAGAGATGCCGTTTCATAACTGTGCAAAGCAGATTCTCTAAAATCTGGCAATACAACAACAACGATTTTTGGATACTGTAGCATAACAGCATTGTGTAGGGTAAACCTCTATATATCACCATCGCTAGGGTTGTGGGGGGCTGGAGTCTATCCCAGCTGACTTAGGGTGAAGGCAGGGGACACCCTGGACAGGTCACCAGTCTATCACGGGGAGACAGACAACCAAGCACACTCACATTCACACCTACGGACAATTAGAATCACCAATTAACCTCAACATGTTTTTGGACTGTGGGAAGAAGCTGGAGAACCTGGAGAGAACCCACGCTGCACGGGGAGAACATGCAAACTCCACGCAGAAAGATTCCGGTGCCCCCACCGGGACGCGAACCGGCAACCTTTTGATTGAACATGAATAAATTATCAAATCTTCTTGTATTGTCTTATAATCAGAGGACGTGAACTCTGATTTCATTGACCTCCAGTTGTCACGGAAGGCAATCAGGGAACCCAGGTGCAGACACAGATCAGGCTGACAGGCAGGTTAAGTGCAAAAAAGGATTTAATAAGACAGAAACAAAACTGAAAACTAATACAAGAGTGCAGACTAAACAGAGTGGGAAACAGAACGAAATAAACCAGACTGAATTTAAAAAAAGGATGAAACTACAAAAACCAGAGAAAACTCCAACAAAGAATGGAGGGGGGAAAAAACCTAACGAATTCTAAGCTACAAAAACCAGGACAACTCACACTAACAGGGAAAACAGAGGGGGCAGACAGGCTCGGGAATCCAGGTAGAGACGAAGTGGAGACTGGCAGAAACATGCAAAATGGAATGTCTGTGATCCGGCGGCTTGTGGTGGAATGAACCGAGTCTTTATAGGAGCAGTGGTGATTGTGGGCAGGTGAGTCCAGAGTTGCAGCTGAGGGTGATTGTCCTGATTAGTGTCGAGATGCACAGGGGCGGAGAGAGAGAGAGCGAGAGACAGACGGAGAAGAGACAGAGAAAAAGAGGGAGACAGGCAAGGGCTGGGCCTGAGGCTGGAGGGTCATGACACCAGTTCCAAAAAGAAAAAATACACAGTGTAACTAATAATAATTATAGATGAAACATTTATTAACTAATACTACAAACAAACAATATGACAACAA